AGCCCACCCCACCCTTTAAGAACCGGGCCGGGCCGGTCCCGGTTTATACCGGTCCGGGCCGGTCCGGTCCCGGGTCAACCCGGCCCGGTTGACAGGTCTAGTAGCACTTCTCCATTCAACCGTCCAATTTTAATTTGAGTAACATCTTCGTCTATCATTCTAATCTCTTGAAACAACGAACCTAAATATCTGAATTATTTGTATTTTGGCACCACATTTCCATCTAGTCTCACCTCATCTTCACTCTTCTCACACTGACTAGACTTGCGTGCATGTATTTAGTCTCACTCTTTTCCATTGCTCAAGCTTTTGGTTGAAACCCTTGTTAGTTTTATCAATTAGTACAACATCATCAGCAAATAACATACACCATAGAACTCATGTTGTACTTTGTTGGTTAGCTCAATTATAGCTATGGTAAAAATAAGTAAGGGTTTCATTGAATAAATCGGTGTAGATCCACTATTATGAGAAACTCCTTTATATCTCCTATTATTGTTTTCACGCTAGTGACAGCTCTTTTGTACATATTCTTTATGATATTTATATATTTAATATGAATTTCTTTCTTCTCTATCACCCACCAAAGGAGCTTCCGAGGTACTCTATCATATGCTTTTTATAGGTCAATAAACACTATGTGTAGATCTTTCTTCCTTTCGCAATAAATTTTTATTAATTTTCTAAGCAAGAATATAGCCTCTATTGTGGATCTACTGGGTATAAATGCAAACTGATTCTTTGTCACTCTCATGGTGTTCCTAAGTTTACGCTCAATTGCTTTTTTCCAGAGTTTAATTGTATGATTCAAGAGTTTAATGCCATGATAGTTCTCACAACTTTGAATATCTCCTTTGTTCTTAAAGATTAGAATCAAGGTACTCTTCCTCCGGTCTTCGATCATCCTACCGCTTCTTAGTATGGCATTGAATATCTTGGTGAGCTATTCTACTCCAACCTTTCCAAGACACTTCTAAACTTTTATAGGGACACTATCTAGACCACGAGCCTTTTTAACCTTCATCTTTTTGATATCATCTTTTACTTCTTACGTCCTAATTCTACGGGTATAGCTAAAGTTTCTATCATACATAGACGCCTGAAGGTCTAAAATGCTATCCTCTTGGTTTGAGTTGAACAATTGATCTTCTTGATCTTTCTATCTCTCCTTGATCTTTTTATCTTTGGTCAATACTTGTTGCCTTTCTTCTCTATTAGTCGTACTAGTTTAAAAAGATTCTTTTTTCCCTACCTTTGTTCCTAGATTTTGGTACAATCCATCTAGAGTTTTCCCTCAAGCTTTACTAATCACCTTCTTAGCTTCTTTCTTAGCTCTCTCATATTCTTCAAAGGCTTCTCCATCTTTTGTTTTTAACAACTTTCTACAGTATTCTCTTTTAGTTTTAATAACTTTTTATACCTCCTCATTCCACCATCAAGATTCTTGTGGCCGAGGTCCTAGACCTTTAGACATCTTCTTTAATGCAACTTGATATTTTCTTCTACATGATGTCTACGCCTCCCTCTAAATCTTAAGCTCCTTTCTTTTGTACCTTTTCTTGAAATGTTGATTGGTAAGTGCCTTATTAAGGATATAGACACACATAAGGTATTTAAGTAGTTATAGTATAGAGGATAATTAACTAAATTGTGAATTAGTTAGTTTAGACAGTAAGTACATTGTATTAATACCATGTACTGTAGCTTTCTTCTTCAATACAACATTTCCTCTTTTCTCTCAATCTCTCTTCTCTCTTCTGACTACATCTAAGCTTAGCTCAAGCATTCCCATGACGGTCTCCGATATGGTATCAGAGCTAGTAGAGAAGATCTAAACATGTCTCTTCGTTACTCGATTGCAGAAGCTAAAGCTTAGTTAGAAGATAGGTGATTTCTCAAAACTCTGATTTTATCCTCGACTTAGAAATGGGGAAAAATAAAATTGACCATACGCATTCACTGTTCATGCATCCATTAGACACTACGAGCTCAGTTCCAATTTTGGTTCAGCTTTAAGGATTCGAGAATTATGGCCTACGGCGGAGATCGATAAAGATTGCACTTCAATCTAAACGAAAGCTAGGGTTTGTTGATGGTATACACACCAAGGCCTCATTTCTGTAAACATTGCATGAGGATATGGAAACTTGTAACGCTATAGTCCTTTTATGAATTATGAATACTGTATCGCTAGATCTACTTAGTGGGTAGTGTATGCATCAAATGCCCGAGCTGTGTGGAAGGATCTTCGTGAGAGATTTGACAAGTTCAATCGCATGAGGATCTATCAGCTGCATAGGGACATTGCAATAATTATCCCAAGGTACCGACTCTGTGTTTATATAGTTTACAAAACTAAAGGAATTATGGGGGGGGGGGGGGAATTTGATGCAATTGTGCCGCCTCCTAGCTCTGTCAAGGACTATGTTGAGCACTTAAATCAACAGAGGTTACTTCAATTTTTAGGAGGTCTAAATGACTCTTATAGTCAGGCAAGACGTCAAATTCTTATAAAATCCACTGAACCTAGTCTAAATCAAGCATATGTCATGGTTATCGAGGATGAGACTTAGAAAGGATCATTAGGGTATAGCTCTACAGGTCTCAGCTCACTAATGGATGGCAATGACATTAGTGCACTTTAGAGTGCAAAAGGACCTCAGATGCAGAAACCTAGAAAGAATTTCAATATAGTGTGTGATTTCTATAAAATGAAAGGACACAGCAAAGAGAATTATTATCAATTAACTGAATATCCAACAAATTTCAAGGGCAGAAGAAAGCCAGTAGCTAATTTAGCACATTTTGGTAACTCTGCACAACTAGGGAATCATGGACAACATCAAGGAATGAGAAATAACTCAGGAAATGGCCACACTAGTTATGGAGTTGCACGACCTTTAGGTCCAAATATTGATTAAACCAATGCAAGCTATACGGGATCACCACGTGGTTTTGTAGGTGCAAAGAAAGATGTAGGGCAGAGCATGCAGAACTCCAGAACACTATGACCAGATTCTGAAGATGCTACAGAAGGACAGTACACCTGAATCAACAACTAATGCAGCTAATACAACATGTATAATTGGCCCTCTATGCTTGCAAATGCAGTTACTGTAACTCATTATACTGATAGTAAGGCAAAGGATGATGAGTGGATAGTAGATACAGGGGAAACAAATCACATAACGTCAAACAGTGAAATGATCTCTAAGCCTAAAGAACAGTCTAAAAGTATAGGTGAAAAAGTTCATTTGCCAAATGGAGATAGCTTGGCCGTAGGAAGTTTTGAATTAGATCAAGGGATTATATCCAATGTGCTTTGCATCCTAGGTTTTAAATACAATTTACTGTTAGTGTCAAAACTGACCAGGGAGCTAAACTGTTATACGCTATTCTTTCCTAACTTTTGCCTGATGCAGGACCTTCACACTAGGAAGAGGTAAAGGGGACTGATAAGCAGAAAGGAGATCTATACTATTGGCCTCACAGTGATAGAGATAGGGTTCAAGCCTCAGCGGCACTGTGTATGACCAATGAAGAAGAGCTATGGTACAGAAGACTTGGGCATATTCCACATAAGGTTCTACAGCCGATGCACATAATAAAACATAGTAGGTTGCATACTAATAACGTCTGTCCTATTTGTCCCTTGGAAAAACAGACAAGATTTCCTTTTCCACAAAGGACTAGTTGAGCTTCTATAGCATTTGATTTGATACATGGTGATGTATGGGGTCCCTATAAAACCTTACCTATGATGGAAATAAATTTTTTCTTACTTTAGTAGATGACTATAGTAGAATAGTTTGGATATTTCTGCTCAAACTTAAAAATGATGTACCTATTGTAATAAAAGACTTCACGACTCTTGTGAAGACTTAGAAACAGTACAATAAAGGTATTCAGGACAGATGATTGAAAAGAGTTCTTTAATTCACATTGTGCAGATATATTTAGGAATGCAAGTATGGTTCATCAAAGTTCCTGCGTCTACACCCCAGCAAAATGGTGTGGTAGAAAGGAAACATAGACAAATTCTTGAGGTTGCTAGAGCCATCAAGTTTCAGGGAAGCATTCCACTGAGATTCTGGGATTCTGTGTGCAGAATGCAATATATCTGATTAATAGAATTCCATCCACAACATTAGCAGGAAAGTCACCTTTTGAAATGTTCTATGGTCGACCAGATAAGCTGCAACATGTCAGGGTTCTCGGAAGCCTATACTATGCTACCGCCACAGATAGAAGTGACAAATTTGGAGCTAGAGCAGAACCAGTAGTGCATATGGGATATTCATCCACTAAAAAGGCTTATAGGCTATACAGTCTTACTAACAATTATTTTTTTATAAGCAGGGATGTATCTTTCAAGGAATACAACTTTCCATTCAAAACTACAACTTCCACAGGCAGGAGGACTAATGCTAAGCAGTTTATTGATACAGATGATGCCTTCATCATTGATCCTACCTCTGAGGTCTCAAAGATTGCTCTTGATTCAGTAGTAGCACCTTCACCTTCTCTAGAGGCTTCCTCAGCTCCTACTTATGATGATCCATCTTCTGAAGCTCTGCCACAACCTCACCTCCTATAGCAGTGATGCCACATCCAGCTATGGCTTCTTTGCATGATTTGCCAAAAGAGGGACTAAGTAAGTCTATTAGGACTTCCAAGCCACCTGGATGGTTCAATGAGTTTGTTCATGGAAGGCCAAAAGTTGGTCCTTCTACTGCCTTGAGTTCCAGTTATTGCATATCTACAAACATGTCTTATGCCACATTGTCTCCACCTTACTTCAAAACTCTTTGCTCCTTTTCAACTGTTACAGAACCAACTTCCTATGCTAATGCCGTTCGAGATCCCAAGTGGATTGCAACCATGGATGCAGAGTTACAGGCCTTACAGGACAACCACACCTGGGAGTTAGTTCCCTTACCAACTGATAAGAGAGCTGTAGAGTGTAAATGGTGTTTAAGGTGAAGTATAATGCCAAAGGTGAGGTGGAAAAATATAAATCTCACTTAGTAGCCAAAGGTTATTCACAATAAGAGGGTCTTGATTATCAACAGACCTTCTCTCCTGTGGTGAAAATGGTCACAGTGAGGACTGTTTTATCTTTAGCTGCTATGCAAGAATGGAAGTTGTACCAAATGGATGTCTTCAATATTTTTCTTCAAGGTGATTTGCTGGAAGAAGTGTATATGACTCCACCTCTTGGTCTTCTAGGTGAGGGGGAGCCTCCTAGAGTTTGCAAACTTCAGAAGTCCTTGTATGGGCTCAAACAGGCCTCTAGGCAATGGAAATTGAAGCTCAGTGAGGCCCTCTCTTCCTCAGGCTTTGTGCAAAGCCATCATGACTATTCCCTCTTCAGTAAGAGGTCTAGTTCTGTTTTGGTCATTACACCGATCTATGTGGATGATCTCTTGATTACTGGCTCATCTCCTCAATTGATTCAGGATGCCAAAGTTGTGTTTCAACATCACTTCAAGATCAAGGACCTGGGGGAGATGAGATACTTCCTTGGTCTTGAAGTTGCAAGGAGCAGACATGGTATTTTGGTTTATCAAAGGAAGTTCAGACTTGATCTCATTGCCACACTTGGGCTTGCACGTTTTAAACCAGCCTGCACACCTTTAGACACAAGCCATAAACTTACCAGTGCAGAGTATGATCAAGCCAATGCACATGGAGCTGTAGATTCTGATGCATTACTTAGTGATCCAAGCAGCTATCAGAAATTAGTTGGAAAGATGTTGTACCTTACCACGACAAGGCCAGACATCAGTTATGTTGTGAAAAATTTAAGCTAGTTCATGCACAAGCCAAAGAAGTCACATATGGAAGGAGCACCAAAAGTGGTAAGGTACCTAAAGAATGCACTTGGGCTGGGGATTCTGCTATCATCTCAGTCTTCTGACCAGCTCATAGTGTATTCTGATGCAGATTGGGCCACTTGCCCAATGACTAGAAGATCAGTGAGTGGGTTTGTCATAAAGCTAGGTGACTCTCTTATCTCGTGGAAGTCCAAGAAACAAAATACAGTGTCAAGGAGCTTTGCCGAAGCTGAGTACAGAAGTATGACCAATGCAATAGCAGAAGTAGTCTGGTTAACTGGGCCGTTTAAAGAATTGAATGCAGACTTGAAACTTCCAGTGAAGCAATATTGTGATAGTAAAGCGGCTATTCAGATTACTGCAAATCTCATATATCATGAAAGAACCAAACATATTGAGATTGACTGTCATTTTATTCGAGAAAAGATTCAACAGGGCCTAATACAGACTGCACATGTTTCTACAAACTTGCAGATCGCAGATGTACTAATCAAAGGATTGGGGAAGGCACAACATGATTTCCTACTATCGAAGCTGGGAGTGTACAACTTATTCACACTATACAGCTTGAGGGGGAGTATTAAGGACATATACACACATAAGGTAGTTAAGTAGTTATAGTATAGAGGGTAATTATGTAAATTGTGGATTAGTTAGTTTAGGCGGTTAGTACAGTGTATTAATACCGTGTAATGTAACTTTTTTCTTCAACACAACAGTTCCTCTTTTCTCTTAATCTCTCCTCTCTCTTCTGAATATGACTAAGCTTAGCTCAAGCATTCCCATGGCGGTCTCCGGCACGCCCTTTAACACCCAACCCATCACCTAATATGGTGTGGTTTTCAAGTTATCTCCTTTCTCACTCTACTCTTAAGCTTTATATCTAAGAGTACAAACCTGTGTTGGGTGGTCGTTGCTTCTCTTAGAATAACCTTACAGTCCTTGCATGTACTCGTCTTTTAGTAAGGATAAAGTATATTTGACTATGGTTACCACCACGATCCCATAAAGAGTGATAGAGCTCGAAAAGAGGATAAAGTTGTAAAAGATCTTTACAGAAATAGCTAGTCGGATTCACTATTTACTTTTTGTAGTCAATATACATAAAACAACAACAACAACAACAACCCAGTATAATCCCACTTAGTGGGGTCTGGAGAGGGTAGTGTGTACGCAGACCTTACCCCTACCCTTGGGTAGATAGGCTGTTTCCAAATAGACCCCCGGCATCCTTCCCTCCAAGAACTTCCCACCTTGCTCTTGGGGAGACTCGAACTCACAACCTCTCGGTTGGAAGTGGGGGTTGCTTACCATCAGAGCAACCCCTCTTGCAATAAATTGAAATCCATCCTTGTACATGCATCTTAAACCCGGTCAGAATATCTTCAGTAACAGATCCATAAATCCATCCAATCTCTTTGCCCCATAAAATAAAAAACTAATAATAGACGTCGTATACATATACATATTATACATATGATATACATCCGTCAGCTATTTTTAGTTTAAACGGTTGGGTGAGCGGCTATTTAGGTTAATTCTACAAGTTTTAATAGTATTTTTTTTTATTTGCAGTTGATGATGGTGATTAATGAATCATTACGCCTTTACTCAACTGTGCCAATACTAGCTAGGGAGGCATTTAAGGATATGAAATTTGGAAATGTGAAAATTCCAAAGGGTATGAATGTTTGGACAATGGTTATGGCATTACACACTGATCCAGAAATTTGGGGACAGGATAGCTATGAATTTAATCCAGAGAGATTTGCAAATGGAATATCAAATTCTTGCAAAGTTCCACATGTTTTTATGCCTTTTGGAATTGGTCCTAGAGTTTGTGCTGGACTACCTTTGGCTTTGGCTGAGNTGCAAAGTTCCACATGTTTTTATGCCTTTTGGAATTGGTCCTAGAGTTTGTGCTGGACAACCTTTGGCTTTGGCTGAGTTGAAAGTATTGATCTCTCTTATTGTGTCTAACTTCACATTTAGGCTTTCACCAAGTTATGTTCACTCCCCTAAACTTGGTATTGTTATTGAACCTCAATATGGAGTTGATATTCCACTCAAGAAGTTAGAAACAGCGCGTTAATCGCTACAGAAATGTCATGGTATGGTCAAGAAGAAACGGTAGAACCTCATTTATTCTTCGTTTTCCTTTTTATTCTGTGTATATCTCTCTCTATCTTGATTGAGATATTGAATCCTAAAACTGCTATTTATAGAATGTTTACATGAAGGATAATGATATTGATAAATTTTTAGATTCTCATATAGCTAAATTTGAAATATGTTGTTGATTTATAGTTTGAAAAATTTGATGTATGCTCTCCATCTATGAAGATTAAGAGATACTATTACGTTTGAACACATAAATATTTACTTGCTTTATAGAGTATCGTCAATGGTCTTTCGAACGCAACTTCTCTACCTGCACAAGATAAGGGTAAGATCTTGTTCACACTACCTCCCTAGACCCTACTAGTGAGAATATGCCGGGTATGTTGTTGAAAAGGATATGATGCCATTCAATAAAATAAGAGATGGAAAAATCAAGTGCATTTCTGCACTGAAGGTTACGGTCTAACGGTCAATTTAATGGGTGAAAACTATAGTCTAAATCCTAGAAGGGACAAAGAATATTAGATGATTTCTTTCCGACTGCCAAAGTCTCAGGTGCAGAGTTGTCCGATACCTATATTGGTGCGACATTGAAGATATCCGGCATACCAAAGTCTTGCACTTTGCCATACCCCATATGATCGAGCATAAACTAGTGTGAGTCTCTGTTTAGGAGGAAGAGATCATCTCTGCAACTGTAAATAAGAGGAGAAAAAGAATTTTAAGGAAACTAAGGATCCAAGTGTGTTAAGTATCTGTCAATGGTTATTCACCAAGAAAACTAACCACTTTTGCTTCTCTGTAAAATACGCAGGAGATTCGTTTTTTAAAAAAAAAAGGCTTCGAGCCTAACTAAACTTCAAAAACTAGCTCGTGAGGATTGCTAAAATTATGTAACGTCTCCCCTCTCCTCGCACGCCTAAAATTGGATATCTACATTAGGTAAACCAAGAATAGGAATGAGTCTTACTCTCATACCATGTAAAGACAATGAATATTGAAACTAACTCAACCTAAAAAACTCGCTCATGAGGTGAGAATTTCCTAAGAACGTATAAAAAGACAATAACCCATTCCATCAACCAATATAGGACACTTCATAGGTTCTTCGGACTTTGATTTTCTTTTTGTTTTACATGCGCAAATTAACTCTTTAAAAGTAAGCTCGTGAGGTGAGGATTTCCAAGATTATCTAAAGAAACTCATCCCCTTAACCAATGTGGGACACTTAACGCCTGCCCTCTCCTCGCACGACCAAGATTGGATATCTACATTGGGTAAACCAAGAACATGTACGAGTTTGACTCTCATACCATGTAAGAAAATGGACATTGAGACTAACTCAACCTCAAAAGCTCGCTCATGAGGTAAGGATTGTCTAAATCCATATAAGAAGGCAACAACTCGTTCCCTCAATCAATGTAACACACTTAACAGGATAAGATTGGTTAAGCTTTAACATTTCTATATCCCATCCTTCCTTTCTTTTGTTGGTCAGTTGTATTACAGGTCTGATTCTCTACTTTCACCAAGTCAATCCTTTATTGTTGAAAATCAAATACAGGCTGGAGGCACATGAACTTGGAGAGCTCAACACAGTGGCATTGTAATTGCCTTAATGTGTACACTCAACAGCAGA